ATAGATAGATAGATATCACAAGTATCAAAAATCTGACGCAGTTCCTGTTTTCCGGTCTTGATTTTAACATGTAGTTGCTTCAAACGGGTTAAGCTTTAACAGAAGTTTATTTTGAAAATCATAGCCGGAAGTCTCATGTGAGCTGCGTGCCGCTTCACACCGGTGCGCTCCTTCAAGGTGATGAGAAAAAAAGCAAGTTGTCAGGTTATCAGTGGACAGCCACGGCTTCTGTCGGGACGCAGGTAAGGCTGACCCACATGGCGCCGCTCACCTTTACTTTACCTTTGGATCCACAATTAATGAATAATAATGCAGCTCAGGTAAATGTAGGAGCGCCTGTAAGTTTCTGTAAAGTTGAACCTATTTTTAGGGTGACTTATTGAGCAGGTAATCTGCTAAAAAGCGTTTCGATCTAATGTTTTTAAACTGAGATATTGCGTACAGCATCGTTATTGATAGGCATAATTTAGAACATATAAATGTCTCTAATCCACATTCTCGGTAATAGCTGTTTGCTCTTGTCTGACTAGTTTTTCCACTTCAGGTCAACCAAGGTGGGGTCAGGTTCTTCTTTTGCCACCAACTCTCAGCCAGACGGTTTTATTGATGATTTCAATCACTTTAGTTAAACTTTTTTAAACGTGTCTCTGCTTTAACACACCAGAATCTAATAATTGGTTTAATAAGTAAGACTGTGGGGAACTTGTCTGCATGCTGTGGCCATTTGATCCAGGTGTGCTGGATTCAGGGGCGGAGCTAGATGGGGGGCCAGGGGTGGCCATGGCCACCCTTACCCAATCATTGGCCACCCCTACCATTTTTTTCCCACTCTAATAAAGATGGTGGCAGCAGTAATTTTCTCAAGTGGAATATTCAAAATCTTTAAATTTTTTGTGGTTAATTATACACAGTATAATGTTAGTATATACAATATACTAACATAAAAGATGATTAGTATAGAATTCAGGCTCTTTTCAGAACTAGATTTTGTGTTGTATGGGATAAAGAGAATATTATGCGTCTCTACAAGTCATCTTGGAGTCTTCAGTAAAATCATAGATAAATAACAATTTCAATATAAACTTATCAAATAATCAATTTATGTTGATATTAGTGCTTGTAAATATCAATTTTATGTGGAATGTTTATTGATACAAGTAGGTAAGTAATGATGATGAAAAAGATTTATCTCCTAGATCTCAAAACTGAAAGAATTTTATCCACTATACCTTTTATTTAGGAAGCACGGATGTTAATAAATATATATATATATATATATATATATATATATATATATATATATATATATATATGTGTCTATTTGTTAGCAAAAGCTGTAGGAAAGTATAGTTTGTCTTTATTTAGAAAATGTGGGTGTTTGCTCCTTAATTTTCCTGTTGGAACAGTATAGATTGACCGTGAGGTTCTGGAGCCTATCTACTTTTGGCCCCCCCCCTCAGTGTACGATGGTTATTGCCTGGCCACCCTTATAAAAATGTTCTGGCTACGCCTCTGAGTGGATTAGGGAAAACTCAAAAAGTTGCAGGATACTTGAACCTAAATTTCAGATAAGAAAATCACGTTTCAATATATTGCAGAATTTGTCTCTTTATTTATTTTTTTTCTCATGCAAACTAAATCGTGTGTTTAATAATTATCACCCACCAATATATTTCTACAACATCTGAATATCTGTGTGTTACAGTACATCTATAAATAACAACAGTGTTTAAAAGAAAAAACAGAAATATGGCTATTGTTTTTGGAAAAAAAACTCTCCTTGTAGCCCCATATTTTTATTTATTTCTTTCAAAGACACAGATACTAATGCTTGTGTTCCATTGTAACATGTATTTTTATCTTTATCTGCCACACCTCCGTAGTTGTATTTCAATTCAAAGCCATGATAACCTTAAGTGTCCTTCCTCCATCAGAGCGCGGCAGCATGATCCCAGTGGGTGAATTCAAAAACTTTGGGATCGATTCAAACTCCCAGTTCCGGGTCCTGAAACCATGGTGGGATGTTTTGTCGGAGTACCTCTGCATTGCGATGCTCATGATTGGTGTATTTGGCTGCACCCTGCAGGTGAGGTATCAGTCAGCATGAAAGATATTTTTACAGCATGTTACTCCCTTAATTGCTCCAACTTAAGATTCCTGGTGGGGTTAATTATTTGCTTCTTATGTGCTTGTTGTTGCATCCCCCTAGTGACGTGTAGGAATGTTAAATCCCCCCCACACCCTTCTCTGTCTGTTTCAGTACTAAAGAAAAAAAAAACATTTGCAGTTTCTGACCTCCAAGCTACCTGAGAACTTAAAAAGTATATATCACTCTCAACTCTACACTAGTGATCCATAGAAGGTCACATTGTTTTAAATGTGAATAAATATCTTAGGAATAAATGAGTCTTTCGATGCAGAAGGATAATCTCACACTGAAATCTTAAGAAAAATCAAAGCGTCTAATACTGGTATTTTTATTCAGTGGGTTAGAAATGGCAGTAAATAAAAACCCAAACAACGGCCTCAAAATAGATGCAGCTGAAACATTAAAATTAATTATGTGCTTTTTGATCGATCAAAATTTTCTAGGAACTTCAGTTTAGTAAACCGTAACTTGTGTGTGTGTATGTATGTGTATGTATGTATATATGTGTATATATATATATATATATATATATATATATACACACATTAGGGATGGAACTGCTTATGAAATCCGTCCGAACCGTTCGGTTCGACTGTCTCGGTTCGATTTGCGTGTGTTGCGTTCGGTGCATGCACTGCTCCTTTTTCTCATAGGCGAAGCGTTTGCACTCCAGAGCAGAAGGTGGCGGTACTGCGACCAAAGCCAACCACCGGTAGTAAACAAGAAGAAGCGAAGCAGCGTAGCCGGGTGTAGCAGAAAAAAATCAGTTGTTGTGGAGAATTGTGTGGGTATGGCGAGTGGGATAGAACAGGAGTTGGAAGACGTGCCAGCAGCTCTTTATAGGTCTGCTGTATGGGTATAAAACAAAGGATGATAATGTGAAAAAGCATCTCTTTCTTTTGCCTTGGTTAAGGATCTATCATGCTGTGGGCTGTTGCCATTCTACACCATTCTACAGCCTTTGGAAAATTGTTACTCTACATGGAATCGTGAAGTCTTTGAATCGCAAAGGAGTTTTTTAAACAATCTGTTGGCATTGAATGGATCATCATTGGACCTTCAACAGAATTATGATCCAACGTCAACACAAAACTGGTTTAAAAGATGCAGCATTGACCTTCTTCTAGGACACCCTAGTCCTTGGGTCCAGACAGATATTCTGTTAAAAGCCCATTGGGTAAGCTGTACAGGAAAGATCCATGACTGGAGAGACTGAAGACAGGGATGGTGAGATGGGGCAAGACTTTAGCAATTAGCAGCTGTGATACCTAATTACTCTACGTGTGGTTTTTGTTATTAAAAAAAGATTGCTAATGATCTAATAGAAGGTTTGATTTCTCTTAATTTTTCATTATGATGATGATAAATTACTGTAGCAAAAGGAGGGGGGATGTAGTACCCTAGAGTCCCAACACCTGAATAATGAAAAGCTTATTTTTTGTCTCTTCTTAACCATTTTAATAATTTGATTCTTTCATCATGCTCTGCCATATTTTACTTCCTAATGCTCTCATATTTAGCCCATTAACATCACATTTTCCCTCTGATTTCTTCAGCTCACCCAAGACAAGATTGCATGTCTGCCCAGCCATATCACCAGCCCTGTGAAAGACGCAATAAACTGCAGCTACATCACTGACCATGAACCCAACAAGACGTCAGACAGAACGCTAGCCAAGTCTGTCAGCCCCATCGTAAAGGAGGTGTTTGGTCGCAAGAATAACCTGGACATTCACCAATACTTATTTGTCAACCACTATTGCTACGAGCGGTTTGTGCACTGGTATGCTAAGTACTTTCCGTACCTTGTGGTGATCCACACTATGATCTTCATGATAGCGAGTAGCTTCTGGTTCAAATTCCCTGGGACATCATCTAAAATAGACCTTTTTGTCAACATTTTGGGGAAGTGCTTTGACTCACCCTGGACCACAAGGGCCTTGAGTGAGGTTTCAGAGGAGAGAGGAGAGGAGAAGCTGGTGAGTTTGAGGAGGAACACCATGTCGAAAGATTTTAAGGACCGGGCAGATGAAGAGGAGACCATAGGGCTTATTCGCTCCGCCTCTGTAAAGTCTAATCCTGAAAAGAAAACTCCGGAGCCTCAGTCTACGCCTTCTGTGTTGGACAAAAAGGAGGGAGAGCAGGCCAAAGCTCTTTTTGAAAAGGTCAAGAAGTTTCGAACTCATGTAGAGGAGGCAGATATCTTGTACCTTATGTATGTACTACAAACCTCTCTCAAAGTCTTCAAGTTCCTCATAATCATCATTTATACTGCAGTGCTAGTATCAAACATTGAAATTGTTGTGCGCTGTGATGTCCCTCCTGACCTGACTGGCTTTGACATCTATTGCTGCAACCACACCAAAGCCCATCTTTTCTCCAAGCTTGCTTACTGCTACATCTGCTTTGTAGGAGTGTATGGACTCATGTGCATCTACACCCTCTACTGGGTGTTCCACCGACCTCTGAAGGAGTACTCCTTTGAGTATGTCCGACTGGAGACGGGTATCAACGACATACCAGATGTAAAGAACGACTTTGCTTTCCTGCTTCACCTTGTGGACCAGTATGATGCTCTTTATCCTAAAAGGTTTGCAGTTTTTCTGTCTGAGGTCAGTGAGAGCCACCTTCACCAGCTCAACCTTAACTATGAATGGACCAACAAAAAGCTGCGCACTCACCTGACCAAGAACTCCAACGATAAATTAGAGCTCTATCTTTTAGGGCTGCCAGGGCTGCCGGACACCATATTTGAGATTACAGAAATTGAATCACTCAAGCTGGAGCAAGTTAAAAATGCCACCATTCCGGCTTCTGTGGCGAAGCTGGAATCTTTGCAGCAGTTGTCCTTGATCTACTGTCCCGCAAAGATGCAACTGCCTGCCGTAAACCACCTCAAAGAGCGATTAAAGGTTTTACGTCTGACTTTTGAGACTTCAGAGGAGATCCCTTTGTGGATGTATTCTCTTCATTCTCTGGAGGAGTTATATCTTACTGGTCCTTTGATCAGTGAGGTGTCCAAAAGCGGTACCCTAGAATCCCTGCGATCTCTAAGTTCTTTAAGGCTCCTCAGTCTACGGTCCAACCTTAGAAAGATACCACCCAGTATCGTGGATCTGGCAGCACAGTTAGAGAGGTTGTGCATCCACAATGAAGGGGTCAAGCTCCAGGCTTTTAGCAGCCTGAAGAAGTTAACAAACCTAGTTTCATTAGAGCTGTCAGGTTGTGACCTTGAACGCATCCCAAGTGCTGTTTTCAGCCTCAACAACTTGCAGGAGCTGGACCTGAAGGACAACAAGCTCACCACTGTGGAAGAGATCCTGAGTCTGCAGCACTGTCGGCGTTTGGTGACTCTCCGTCTGTGGCACAATAAAATATCCTACATTCCTGAACATATCACTAAGCTGCGCACACTGGAGACGCTGGACATAAGCTGGAATAAGCTGAAAAAGCTTCCGTCTCGGCTGTTTTACTGCACCAAACTAAGGCACCTCGATGTCTCTCACAATCAGATCACATATCTTCCTCCAGAAGTGAGCATCCTGCAGGGTCTTCAGTTCTTCTCTGCTGCCTTCAACTCCCTAGAGGCTCTGCCAGAGGAGCTGTATTCCTGTAAACATTTAAAGACACTGGTTCTCTGTAACAATTGCCTTTCATCTCTTAGCTCCAGAGTGGAAAATTTAGCCCAGCTGGTGCGGCTGGATATTAAGGGAAACCGCCTAGAGTCTCTACCAGTGGAGATAGGGGACTGTCCTCTGCTGAGACGCAGTGGATTGATAGTAGAGGACAGCCTGTTTGACCTGTTGCCTTCAGACATACGAAACAAGCTGAGTCAAGGCTGAAACTGAAAGCTTGGGACAGTCACAGACTTGGACATTAATAATTGGCCAGTTTGCTTCTTCAGTCAGTTGTAGAAAAAAAACACTTTAAATTGTCTTGAACTTTTATTAAAGATCTTGTTTTTAAGAACCTGTTTTTTGGTCATGGATGGGGGGGTCAAGATAAAATGTCTGAAGACAGGATTCCCCTTCATACATACACAATCCAAGGATCCAGCACTGCAGCCGGTTTAACTGTTGCGGGCGAGTATTTTAACACAGATCCATGTTGTTTTTGTCTTAGTATGTTTGTGCCGTTTTCCTGTAAAACAGGTTTTGTATAGCCTGGTGAGGTGTGTCCCAACCATGTTGAGTCATGAGCTCTCCTTTAGGTTTAAAAAGAATAGAAGAAAAACACCTTTTTAGATGGTCATCAACACTAAGTAAACATTTACATTTTGTATGTTATTTCTTGAAGTTTTAGTATCAATACAGCATTGCAATTGTTTTACCAAACTGAAAGGAAAAGCATGCCTCTTGAGTGACTGCATAAAATGACTGCTCAGTTAAATTCTTGCTCCTTTTATTTATCTGGAGGGTATAAAACAAAATTGAATTCTTTTGTGCCTTCAACTGTAATGCAGTCATGCTCTGCAAGCCAGAACATGACTACAAAACAGGATCCTAGGAGTAGAATGAACATGCATACCTCTGCTGTTAAAGCTACAATGACCTTCTCTGTGTATATCGTACTATGTTACAGATCAGGATTCAGGTTAACTTAAGGAAGGTCTTGAAGTGGCTCAAACAAAATTAGCTGCAGGTTCTATGCCTTCATACCAAGTAAATCATTACTCTGTTTATTTTCCCTTGTATTCGGGGGGGTGGGGGGTGGAATGAGTCACCAGTATTAAACGAAACGGAAGTACGATCTTCAAAACTGTTTCTTCAAGGTAGTAGTGGTGATATCTATAGTTACAGCTTTACTAAAGTGTTTTATCCTGATACCCCGAAATAAAATCAAGAGCAGCTGATTGCTTTAAAGGTTTGTTAAAGAGCGTTTAAGAACAGAAGACATCATGAACGCCTAAGAAAGAAACTGCAAACTAAATGTCATTGCTTGTAGAACATAGACATACTGGGATATCATGAAGGACAAACAAAAAATCATGAGGGTCCTTAAAGTAAGGCTGCAGATCTCAATTATTTTAGTGATCAATTAATCTAGTGACTATATATTTGATTATTCTAATAAGAAATATTCTTAATAAATGCTCATACCCCAATAAACAAGTATTTACATGTAAAACATTTTTTACAAAAGTCAAAGCTCAGAAATGTTGTTTGAGTCCTGAATAGAGCAAATTTACAAAGGTTTTTCATCATGGCTTAATTTCTGCTATTAATTGGTTCTTTCAATATGTAGCCTGTTTGTATTCTACAATTATTGATTATTCAATTAATGTTTCAATTGTTTATTTAAATAAGTGACTACTGACAAGTGAAATAAAGGCTTCAGCCCTAATAATTTAAAGACCAGGCATTTCTGGATAAAACATTTCCACATAAAATGAGCTTATTATGCATTTAAATATAATTGCACGGTCATTCCTAAACATGTCTGTTAAGCAGAGGTAGAGAAGCCAATATTGAACCCATTTTTTAATTGAGCTTGAGAAGAAGTAAAATACCATCCAATAATGACTTAACTAAGAACATAATGTTTGGTTGAATTGTAGTTCAAATAACTGATAACATTTGATTTAATATTTTTGAAATGCCATTAGAAAACAAACATTTTAAACGTTTTGCACAGATTCTGCTATTTTCTAAGACTAACCTAAAACAGATGCAAATGAAAAAAAAATATTAAGAAATACAGACTGAAGAAAGACTTTTCCTATGATATTTTTTTAACATGAAAGCTATACTTACAGTAGAAAAAGTACCTTAAGTGTCTACTGTTTACTATATATTCAGTTATGTTGCCACTGCAGGCTCAGCAGGTAGAAAGTAACAACACTGAAGCTTGTAGGCACAATAAAAACTCATTTTAACAAACGTTGGTGCATTTCTGGTTAAAGCAAGCTTGTTCTTTATATATCATTCAGCATAAAGTAAAACACGTGATGCAGTTACACTACCAAAACTACATTTTGGAAGTAAATGTAATTAGTTACCTCTGCTGTAGAAGTTGATGACGGCAGCCATTAAAGGTTTTTCTGTACCTTTAATATAAGAATACAAAGAATTTGAAACCTAAATTTAAGTTATTTTATGGGGAACTGAAGCTGAAATGTAATCAATCCAAATTCATAAACACTGCCACCTACTGGTAACTGTTTGTTCCTGCACCCTGGTGTTCTATGTGCTCATTTGGTATAAAAGTGGATTTATTCAAAGCAATCTTCTAATCCAATGCTTTACAGAGTGGGTGCTTGCCCCCTATGGAGGGCCAAATGTTGGAATAATTTCACAGGAATAATGGTAAAGATCAACTGAATAAATGACCGATTTTTGTTTAAAAAGCAATTTTGCTATACAGTGAAATACATGTCAACCTTTGAATAATTCATCCTTAAAATTATACATTTTATGATGCACTTAAGCATCAAAGTTCAAGTAAAAAATGAATACAACCTTATTAATATACAACTCTTGCTTAGTGTACAATGTCAATCCAGCTTCTTTTAATTGATAAATGCTGATGAGGTTTTGCACGCAGCTGTGATCTGAAAAGTGTGGTGTTTATTTGTATTCAGGCAACACATAGCCTTACTTTTTACTGCAATTAAAGCTGCTGCGTTATTGGCATAGCCTCTTCCAGGTTTGCGCATCTAGACACTGAATTTTGTCGATGACCTGTTTGGTTTAGGACTGGATCTTCAGTCATCCCAACACATGGATAAGCTTTGCTATAATTTGACAAGGAAACCACCTACAACGTTTGCTGAGTCCTCTATAGAGCTTTTGCTAAATTGCTAATAAGGCTCAGATTCTCTTATCTTCAGAGATATTGCCTTATGGTTTTAGCCATCTAAGGCCGACATCAGACTTCACAATTATTAGACTTTTGACATTTTAAGGAGACCATTAACACACATACAACACTTGATTTCTAAATATTTTCTTCCACTGCAAAAATATATTATGTATAGTAGTTTATTTCCCACAAGAAAATACATGGAATACACAGTGAAGAGAAGTAAATACGATGGAAAAGGCAAAAAAAACAGTCTGGCTTGTCTGCAGCCTCTACTACACTGCAAAAAATTGTAAATCTAAGTAAGTAAATTTTTCTTAAAACAAGTGCATTTCTTCTTGAATTGAGCAGGTAAGTTAGACTCTTTGCCAACGGAATAAGACAATTTACATTTAAAATTAGAAAAAAAGACTATAGTCTCTTACTTCAAGCGCATAATATCTAATTTATCCTATTTTAAAGGTAAAAATGCTCATTCCATTGGCAGATCCTCTTATTTTCCTACTCAAATTTAAGGTAAATACACTTGTTTAAAGACCTTTTTACTAATTTTCAGAACATTTCTGCAGTGTAAAAAGGAAACGTGTGTGAATTTAAACTAATGTAAAAAAAGAAAAAGTATTATTGCTCCACAACAAGAAAACCTTGTAACATGCATTGAAGTCAGTGGTCACCTCATGGCAAAATCAGCCAGCTTGAATTATTTGGAAGGCTCTCTTAGTGACTTGTGAATACACTTTTTTTTTCTTACAAAGAACCAGCAGCACAGTACCTGAACTGTATCCTCTCTCCCTCCTGGTAAAGTTGGCTGGAGGAGGCGCATAGGCAAACAAAATAGCCATTGTGCCATGAGAGCCCTGAGCACAAACGGCAACAAACTGTCCACTAACAGGGATCTCTTTCATTTCCAGCTTCAGCGCAGTTTTCTTTGTGACCTTTAACAAACTCTCTCTTGTCCTGTACATTCCGCTGTAGACTCAACGGCCGTGTCTTTAATAAATCATATTTAAGTGCGAAAGATTTTTCTTTTTTTTAAGTGACTATAGATCATTTCCTTATTGTTTATTGTCTTATTGAAAAATAAAAAAATGTGTATTAATCCTACAAAGGACTTAAATCTACTAAATACCACATTTTCAGCTTTTTTTTTAAATCCTGATACAAAATAGAGACAAAAAAAAACAAAGACAACGAGACAAAGTTCATGACTTTATTTTGTGCTTTCTTCATATTTAAGTGAATAATCTCACTTTTGTCTTAAAAGTATTTATATAAATAACATTTCAACAAATCACATTAAATGTCACCATTTACAAAGTCACAGGAATATGAATTCCTATTCCAAAAATAAATAAGAGCAAATTCAAAGTCTAAGTACATCTAATTAAGAAAAACACAACTATGCAAAGCAATCAGGGTGCACCTTATCATTTTTGTAAATTACAAAACAAAAACATGTGTAAGAACTGTTATAACTCATGCACGCAACAGAAAAGATGTAAAAATCACATAACACTGGAGGACAACTAACTACAACTGTGCACTCCCAATGAATAGGGAAAGAATGTAAATATAAGGTGCCTAAACTGCACTGTGCATAAGGTGTCTACAGTATATAGCCACCAATCCAATGAAAAGAAGCTGCCAAGACAATACGCCCCGTCACATTTTAATGCTCAGCCACCAAGAACAAATTCATGTATTCAAGTCACCAGGAACAATGCAAAACTTAAAAAAAGTGAGGTTCAATTCACAGATGGTTCATTCTTCTAACTGTGAATGTGAGCAAAGAGCGAGTTCATCATATCCAGCTCACCCAGAGCTCGAGCGACGTCTATTGCTGTTTGACCGCTGACGTTTGCATGTTTCAGGTCTGAGCGGGGAGCTAAGAACTCCACCACCTCCCGGTGGCCTTCTCGTATGGCGATGTGGATGGGGAGGGCGCCGTTCTGGTCTTGGAGGTTAACAGAAGCCCCGTGCTCCACCAAAACCTCCAGGGTCTCGAGGAACCCCGTCTGCGCTGCGTCATGGACCGGGGCGATACCGTGTTTGTCCTGAATGTTGGGTTCAGCTCCCTTTTCCAGCAGCAATCTTGCTACTTTAGAGCTTCCCATCATCATCACCTGAAATGAGACAGGGTGAATATGAATACATAAAACTTGGGACGTTGATTTTCTCTGCTTTATGCCAGCAACACGTGAAAATATCCAACTCTTTTAAATACAAGAGATTTAATCGTTTTCCTTTAAAAACATACAAACATATTTTCTGCTTTTTTTTTTTTTTAATGACAATCATAGATTTAAAAAAAAATAGAAACTATAACTTCTGTGTTTTCATCATTTAAAATGTAAACATGTTTAATCTTGATAACAAGCCTTATAATATAAATTAAAACTTTTATTTTGAAAAATCTAAAGACATTACATGAAATAAAATGCCTGGCTGTTTCCTGGATGGAGCCGCCTTTTACAGCTGCTTTATGTATCTCTGCTTCTGTCTCCTTGAACCCCAGTCGGCCTCAGCAGATGGCCGATCACACTGAGTCTGGTTCTACTGCAGGTTTCTTCCTGATAAAAGGGAGTTTTTCCTCTCCACTGTCGCTACAAGTATGCTTAGTGTGAGGGATTTGGTTTTCCTCAGATAGAAAACTTTGAATCAATCTGACTGTATGATCTGGTGAACTGTAAGGTGCCTTGAGATGACATGTGTTGTGAATTGGTGTTATATAAATAAACTAAATTAAATTGGAAAAACTAAAGCCATAGTAAATATATTGAGTTGAAGATAAGACTTTTCTTGCATTTCAAAAAACAAACCTGATATCCTGAAAAGAGTGTTGCTTTTCCTAACAAAATAATAGTAATCCAAGAGAAAAAAAACTAGTAAAATTAAATCAACCCTATACTAAGAGCAATATTTTATTTTTGAGACTTTATTTACCTTACAGATCGGTAAATGCTGCAGCTTTCACTGGATGTCAAAGTGGTTATGTCATGTCTTTGTAGTTAAGAAACCTCTTTAAGTTGGGAAATAGAAGCTGATTGCACTTGATAATGTATGCCTCAATTAATCAAATTTTATCAGCTTTGAAAAAAATAAATCATTCATAAAGCCTATTTAATATAATGAAGTGTAACTTTTCGCAGCCATGTACACTTGCATTCAAGGGATTTCCCTGCTATAAAGAAAAATAGACAATTTGTGACAACCTGCTCCTTCTTGTAGTCGAAAATATCGGATACAAACAAACAAAAATACAAAAGGAACGAAATGATCAGAGTTAATTATATATTTTTTTAATTATTTATAAAAAAAATTGACACGATATCGAGGAAATACGACATAAATAAAACCATAAATATGAATGTGGAGTGGGGATTATGTGATCCCCGATAACAACAAGACACCAGGGCGGACTTTGGTAATAACTCTTTAACATAATGTCTAAATGAGCGGCTCAGACTGCGAAGATAACCCTAGAAATGATCATAAATAAAACACGGAGCTCACCTGCAGCGCGGTTCGGCCGAACTCGTTGGGAGTATCGGGATGAACTCTGCATTCCTCCAGGATCCTCTGCACCTCATCGGCATTCCCTCTGGCTGCTGCCGCCGTCAAAGCTTTCCCCGCGTCCATCTCACTCAGGACCATTCTACTCTGCTTTCCAGCTGCTTCAAAAACACATGAAACACAAATAGAAACCACACACCCCGGTTACATCAAACTTCACGTTGAAATCCCATCAGACATAGACAGATCAAAAAGCCGGGGAGGAGGAGGAGGGGGGAGAATGTCGGCTACACCTAGCTAATGTTACAACAGCATCCGGCCAACGTAAATGGTAGTTCTCCGCTGACGCCATGTTACTGAGCTACTGCGCACGGCTTCCCCAACGGGCGTTTTAAAGAAAACGCGGTTAAAGCGCCCCCGGTAGATACATAACGTCACGAAAAAGAAATAATTCACCCGTTAAAAACAAAAATAACATCGAAGCTACAAGCTAACGGTTTATCAGCCGTACAGCTACTACGCCTACCTTATCCAGTTCGTTGATATCCCAAGCGTCGTCAAGCTTTTCGTCCAACCCGTTGTTGCTAGTGCACAGTTATTTTTAAATACAATTCAAACGAAAACAGTTTATCAACCTTTAAAAAATACATTTGCGCGCTGAGATCCAAACAGCGGTGTCCCCCCCTCTCCAAGTCTAAAATTTACAAACATTGGAAAGAGAAATACGCTGGCCAATCACATTCCTCGTAGTGGGCGTGGTAGGTCCATATTTGGTAAATGGGGAGGAGCTACGAGCTTGTTACTACACTCCGGCAGTGGCAACATCGACATCTGACCAATCAGAGCACGGAGCGAAGAAAGCGGGCGATTTGTATACGTTGGTGCCTTCAAAGATCAGTTCATTCAGATTTCCATCCTTTGCTCGTACTTCTGCAGATCAGAGTGAGGGGAAAAAAGGCGGGTGCGGGTTTGTAATTTGGGCGGAATTTATCGGCTGTGATTGCACAATGGGTGTCTGCAGGTATGATGGAAATATCTCCAGTTAAACAGCAGAACATACAAACAAAAGGAAAACAAATATATACTAAAAGCCACTCATGACAGCTTCAAATGAATAAATGATTTAAATTATTTTAATGTAATACAACAGAATTCACATTATAGTCTAAGAAGATTTGAAAACATTTGAGAAAATTTTAAAGTTCATAAAAAAACAAAATCTTGAAACAGGAGGATCAGTAAAACAGCTGGTGATATTTTAAAAGATGTTTTGTTTCAGTGCAGTTATAGTGATCTTTATGCTCCTCTGGAAGTCCTGGAGGAATACAATAGAGCCTCCTTCAAGGTTTACACATTGGTCCTCAGCTGGTAATCTAAATACAAAGAGAACACATGTAAATTATTTTAATTTATAAAAAAAATAATATTATATACTAATAATAGGCAGTAAACAGTGCCTTCTAAATACTATTAGAGAGCACTTATAAGAAATGTTGCAACTGTACCTCCACTCTGCGTGATATAGCGCACCCAGGGTAATGCCTGGTATCCGCTTTTTTCAATTATCTTCATATATCGAACCTAATAAAAAAACATGCATCATTAAACCAATGAAATCCCATTGATTCTTACATGAACTGACTTGAATTTTAAAGTCTATCTACTCTAAAATGCCTAGAGGCAAAACAAACGGCTAATTGAGTAACAGTAGTATTAGTAACACCTTACACACCACAAATGATCCTTAAACATTCCACCTCCTACGATTAACTTGATGCTCTACTCTTACCTCATCATAGACACACATGTGTTGGCACATACCTGAATGCCTGAGACTGTAAAGTAGGGGATTTCAAATTTGACGGTAATAGGTGGTTTTCCCTCAGCCTCATCGTTCTCCACACTGGGCAAACCAAAGTGAGCTCTCATGAGAAACTCTTTTCCTCCCTGCATTGACACAAACCCACAGACACGTTATTTAAAAAGAGAAAGACGCATCGTCAGCATATGTATGAAGCACTCTGCAGGGAATTACTTACAGGGAATGACTTGATGGTCCACACCACCAAGTTCTTCTCTGGTACATATTTAGCATTGCCTGTGCTGGTTTTGAACTTGGGTGAATCAGCATCACTGGGGACAGGAACCCTCACCTCCACATTATTGGCCACAGACTGCTTTTTAAATTGCCCCTTTGCCTAAAACAGAACAAGGAATTGAGGTTTTAATTAAAAAAAAAAACTGTCCCTATACGAGGACAGGTTTAACACTGAAGTGTAAGTAAAGATAAAACCTAATGTAAATGATTAATATCAGGCATTTTAATTCAACGTATAAAGATTATAAATCTATATTCCCAAACTGTGGATATATGTAAGAAAATAAGGCACATTGCAAAAATATTACCTTCCAATAAACCTCCTCATATTACAACCACAAAAGGGAGGAAAAAAATGTGAAGTATTTACAAATAATTTAAATTCAGTATGCCTGCTTTTATAAAATGTTTTGTTTAAAAAAGCTGTTTTTAATGTAATGGCTGCAACCATTAGCATTAGTAAAGAACTACTTAAAAAAAACTCAAAGTCTGAGCTCTTTCAACCACTTAACCCCTATTGCGACTAAAATGTTGTTTTTGAGGTAGGTTTGAGGACTTCCAGAGATGGCAAAAGTACTCACTTTCCGTACTTGAGTAAAAGTACAGATACTTGTGTTAAAAAATACTCTGGTAAAAGTGGAAGTACTGATTAAACTTCTTTACTCAAGTAAAAGTAACAAAAAACAGGCTTGTAAATTTACTTAAAGTATAAAAGTAAAAGTAGAAACCACTTTTTTCATGCCGTTGCCTACATTTTAAATGGATGTCTGCCAATAGGACTAGATCTCCGTTGTGTTCATTTTCAATCATCTCGTCGTCCATGCTACTATGCTAACGCCACCGCCACCAAGCTGCAATGATTTGCCGCGAATGAATACCGCCGAATCTGTCGATTCATCTTGTAGTGGTGCGTCAAATGCAACGTAGATTCCCATCCAATTAGATTGAATTTGGTATTGATGACGTGAAAAATAATAACGGTAACTCCATTGAAATGATTCAAAACTAAAGTAACGAGTCAATTTTTTAAAATGTAAGGAGTAGAAAGTACAGATATTTGTGTAAAAATGTAAGGAGTAGAAGTAAAAAGTCGCCATAAAAATAAGTAGTAAAGTAAAGTAAAAATATCAGAAAAATCTACTTGAGTACAGTAATGAAGTATTTGTACTTCGTTACTTCCCATCTCTGAGGACTTCCCAACTAGCACTGCACCAGAGGCTTAAATATGACCTGTTTTCTGAAACTACAGCAGATGGAAAGTTTAAATTAGAGCCATGTCTAAAAAAAAAAAACAAAATGATTTTTACATTATGAATAAATTCTTATGTGAATTCCTAAAGGTTAAATTATGTAACCAAAGATGGATTTTTAAAAATTGCCATGTCCTCCATGCTTACAGCTGCCATTAATTAATATTACTTGATTAAATTGATAATATAAAACTAGTATCAATATGTTCCATAACCACAAAAAAAAAAAAGTTTAACACCAGCAATCTAATTGGAGATTGGACTGAATCAGATAAAAAAACAATAATAAAAAAAAGGGATTCTAAATTGGATTAAGGTCATAAACTGGGCCATTCTAAAACCCAAACATGTTCGCAACCCTTTAGAACTGGAGTGGGACCAAACTGGCAATGGTGGCAACTTTCCGAAATGCAAAAATGAAATCACAGAGACTCAGTTTTGGTCACATTATCTTTAAACAGGAGTAAGATACTGTCTTTCTCAATCCAGCCCTTTAGGAGGAGTCAATAAGCTTAAAGTGGGTTTGTTGCCACATGGAAGGGAAGCCATAGTTCAAGCTAGAATCCAGATCCAGATATGCGAGGAGAAGTGAGCACTTTTACACACACCAATAAAGTCATGCAACAGTAGACTCTGGATGAACAAGCTTTCAAGTTCATGAAAACAATGTAACATCTACATGGTAATGGTCAGTGATAACATGTAGCGAAGCTATTAGTTTAACTACATTTTCCAGTAGCTTGACCGTAGCGTTGTTGCTTTATTTATCAAGTAACTTTCCTGTAGTGACGTTATTGCTTTGATCAAGTAGTGACGTAGCGTCCACAAACGCTACAAAATCCAGGGCGAGAAGAGCAGCCAACTGTCCCTACCACACCTTCAGAGATTATGAAACTTGTTGAATCCTCAGATAAAAAAATAAGTGTACAGATGTCTGCTTTGCAATAAAAAAAAATAAAAACTGTTGTCAACATCCAGGACATCCAACACCAACCTGAGAACTCACATTCAGGTGAATCACTAATTTCCCTCCTGCAGTATGCAAGTAAAAATATCTAGCGTCAGTGTAAATCCCAACTCACTTTAGCGAAATGCTGTATGTAAATTAGTAAAACGAAAGCTACCCACCTACCAACAAGCAGTGTGTGATGGAAAGGGACTAGCCAAGTGGCTAAGCAGAAGTGTTTTCTTTAAAAAACAAAAAAAAGCATGAGTGATTTTCAAGGTTCTTGGCCATAGAGAGCTCACGTGGCCAAGATTAGCCATTTGTTTTACATAGCCAAACACTCATTAAAACAGTCAACTACAGTATATTTTTTTTTAAATAAAAATGTGAAAAATATATCAGCTTTAACTTTATTGGCACCTTTAATTTCCAGATAGTTCAATCTTATGAATGCCACTAAGGTACTCTAAATAGAGAGCAGTAGTGAACCTTCGATATTGTATTTTCATGGCCTAATTTACCAGACAGGATGTTTACATGAATCTGTTTTAAGGCTTATTTGCACAGATAAGATTTTTTAGGTATGGAGGAACAGCTCTACCATATATATAAAATAAATACATAAATAAATAAATGCTCAATAAATAACTAAATAAGCATTCAATTAACTGCCCCCAAAAATACAATGAATAAATATGTAGGTAGAAATTAAAGTATATGGTGAGACATAAATATATGTATCACTTAATCGCTTCTTTATTTTTTCACCTTCTTTTGTAAACAGTTCCATTTGTTACTTGAATCGACTGTTTAATTGAGGTCTGAAGAAGTTTTCTCTAAGGGACAACCTAAAGAAATAAGATGCCTTTTGTACTGTAGGGTTTTGTTTTCCCTAGAGATGTCCATTGAATGCAAACTCATAGCCATGTCTCGATGGGTAGAACGCTACACAGTACCTTTAATTTGGTTCTAATAACAGCAGATTGTTTACTAGTTTGTCTATTAGTAATTACTTCAGTTTTTATTTTATTATGCTGATCATAAAGCATTTTTTACACTGTGCTATGTCATTGGCTGATCTTTAATAAATGTTTTAACCAGTGTATCAGACTCATTTTGAATTGATATTAGGTTGGTGCGACGTTAAGTAGCTTCTGATGTAGTTAAGCTACTTTTAACACATTAGTGTAACTTAGCTTGCTATAATTCTTTAGGTGGTAGCTTTGGTGTAGTGAAGCTTACCGGTAATTTATTGTTGAGTAACTGATAGCTTAGCTCACTACACTGGACAAGTAGCTTGCCCAACACTGGTAATGGTTACTGTAAGAATAAATAAATGGCATGTTTAGCTTTGTTGTCCTCCACCTCAGTTTCAAACCTTTGTAGCCTCAAACAAAGATTTTACAAGATTTGTCCTGCATCTACCCAGCAGAGACAAACCCCTCAGTTTCACCATGGGATGGTTTGTTCAGGAGGATGTCCACTGTAAATGTTTCCTCAACAAAACTTGTTTTGTATGTAGATCAGAATGCTATATTGTGGTTAAATATGATTTGCATGACTTCTACCACATTTACTGCATCTCTTAAATGTCTTGTATCAAACTGAAAAGAGGACTCCCTACGTCTATCTT